CGGGGTTTCACCATGTTGACCAGGATGGTCTTGATCTCTTGACCTTGTGATCCACCCGCCTCGGCCTCCCAAAGTGCTGGGATTACAGGCTTGAGCCACCGCGCCCGGCCGATCATGTCAAATCTTATATTAACCGTGTGTGTGTGTGTGTGTGTGTGTGTGTGTGTGTGTGTGTGTGTCTAATATGGAGTCTAGTTCTGTCACCTAGGCTGGAGTGCAGTGGTGTGATCTTAGCTCACTGCAATCTCCGCCTCCCCAGTTCAAGTGATTCTCCTGCCACAGCCTCCCAAGTAGCTGGGATTACAGGCACCTGCCACCACACCCAGCTAAATTTTTTGTATTTTTAGTGGAGGCGGGGTTTCACTATGTTGGCCAGGCTTGTCTGAAACTCCTGACTCAGGTGATCCACCCACCTCAGCCCCAGAAAGTGCTGGGATTACAGACTTGGGCCACCGGGCCCGGCTTTTTTTTCTTCCCTTGAGACAGGGCTGAATGCAATGGTGCAATCACAGCTCACTGCAGCTTTGACCTCCCAGACTCAAGCAATCCTCCAGCCTCAACCTTCCAAGTATCTGGGACCACAGGGGCACACCGCCATGCCTGGCTAATTCATTTTTATATTTTGCAGAGATGGGGGCCTCGCTATGTTGCCCAGAGTAGTCTCAAACTCTTGCCATAAGCTCCCAAAGTGCTGGGATTACCGGTCTGAGCCACCATGCCTGGCATACTAACCAGCTGCCCTGACAAGTGCCCTGATTCTCCTTATGTCAGTATCAAGTGCCCTCAAACATGGCTTCATGCATTTGACAAGCATTTTTTTTTCTTTTTCGACAAACATTTATTGAGCACCTCCTGTGGGCCACGCATTAGCAATGAAGCAAAGGTATGTTAGTTCCCTGTTTACTGCTGTAATAACTGACCAAAAACTTTGTGCCTTAAAACACACATGTATTATCTTATAATTTTGGAATGCAGAAGTCCTAAAATCAAGGTGTTGGCAGGGCTGGTTTCTCCTCAGGAGGTTCTAGAGGAAAATTGTTGCGTCTTCCAGTAGTGGCCGGAATGCCGGGATGCGCTGATATTTATTGTACACAAGGCAGGGGGTCAGGATAAGGAAAGCGACTCATCTGACATGATTGATAGGGTCAAGCAAATCACGTGCTTACAGTACAGGGGGCCCCTCCCTCTCAGGGAGTCAGCATCTTTCTATGCACTTATCAGAAAGATCAAAGGCTTTTAGGATTCCTGTATTCTTACTTCTCACGATTTCTAAGGAGCTCTGGGTGGGAAAGCAGAAGATGAAAGTGGACGAGGATGGTGACCACTGGAGCACAGCACCACAGAGTGGCATTTAAGCCCCTGGATGTCTGGGCAGGCCTGGCTAATGTCAGGCCTTCCTCAAGAGCTTGGCAGGGCAGAGTGTTCTCTGAACTCCCCCAGTGAAAGGAAGCTCCCCTTCATGGCCTGCTAAGCAATGGGGCAACTTCCCAGGCGCTGGCATTACCACGAGGCCTGACTGATAAGCAATGGGGCACCTTCCCAGGCGCTGGCGTTACCACAAGGCTCTCACTGTTGCGTCGGGATCACTTCTCACAATGTTCCTTCAGTTCCTAATTATATTTCACCCGATTATGTCTATACTATAAGACTAAAATGATTCTATGCTATAAAACTAAAGCAAAGATTAATAATAGAGAATTATGATTTAATATGATTGATTATATAGTTGATTATGTGATTGTTTCCACATCTATCTGGTAGCATTGCTATAACTAAGTAATCAGTGAATATATTTGGTTTCATTGCTATAACTAAGTAATCAGTTATTTATGATATTGGGACAGATTGTGCCTTCAGTCTCTTGCCTTGGCACCTGGGCAACTTTTTTCCCCCAGAATGCGAGAGATTTGGGGCCCAACTGATAATATAAAGTATGCTGAACTTGAACATGTTCACCATGTTCTGGCTCTAGAGGAATGAGAGTTGCTAGGGAAGTTGGTGCCATTTTGTGTATCCTCTGCACCTAAGGAGGAAAAAGTATAACAGTTCAGTTTATATTCACAAACATGGAAGTCAACCTTTTCCCGCCTTTTCAATCCAACATGGAACCTACTACTTCCTGCGAAAACCATGCCCCCGCTGCCCCTGGCAGGACACATCTGAGGATTCATTCCTCCACTCAGTCAATCACACCTTCAACAGAAGTTTATGGAGTGTTTCCTCTGTACCAGGTACTGGGGATACATCAGTGAACAAAATTTGTATCCATGAGGTTGCTGGACTTCAGCTGGAAAGTGGGCAGTGGAATTCTTTAGAAGGTCCACAGACCTGGGAAGAGTCTTCAGGGACTGTGACCGACCCCATGATACTGTGGCACACTTGGGTGGGAAGATCCTCCACCTCCCAGGAGGAGCTGTCGACGCCACCGTGACGAAGCACTGGCCACTGGCCATCCAAGAGCTCCTCTTGGGAGCCAAATGGGAAACAACTGGCTCGTTACCTTGCAGTCCCTCAGAAATCTTGCCCTGGTCTTCTGGCTCCAAGGACACAACTTCCCTTTTTCTCTGGAGATGAAATCTAGATCTTCGATTTTGGAACCAAATCTAAGTGGGTAAGACAAAGAAACTTAATTTAAACAAAGAATGTTGTGTAAAACTCATCATTGCTTTCTTCTCTTTTTTCTTTCTTTCTTTTTTCTTTTTTTTTTTTTTTTTTTGAGACAGGAGTCTCTCTCAGAGTAGCTAATCCTATAGGTGTGCATCATTACACTAGGCTGATTTTAAGTTTTTTGTAGAGATGAGGTTTCACCACGTGTGGCCCAGGCTGATCTTGAACTTCTGGGCTCAAGCAATCCTCACAAGTAGCTAGGACTAGAGGCACACTCAACTGTGCCCAACCCAAGATTATTATTAATATTTTATGACATTTGTGAGAGTCTATAAGGCCTGAAGAGAATATCCAAAATTCTGAAACTCACATCCAGTCCCTTTGTGATAGGTTTCATATCCTGGAAGCTCCCAGGTCCACCTCAGAAATACTGCTCTTTCCCTAAAGTGACGTCCTGTATTGCAGCTCTTCCCTCTGCCTGGAATCTTTTTTCTCTCTTTTTCTTCCCCTCAGAAATGCCATTTTACTTCCAAGACCCAGAATAGAGAATGTCTAGGAAGATATTCCTCATCCCCCAAGACAAACTTAATTTCTGTTTCTTCTTTGTGTCCACAAATTATACACATATGTGTGTAAAACTTATGCATATATACTCACATATATAGTGTAATTTGAAATATCAGTTCATATATACTTATATGCATGCATTCACCAAACCCCTTATCTTCCAACAGCTACTATTTTTTTTTTTTTTTTT